TCATGGGCCAGGGATTTGGCTCAGTGGTTCCACTGCCCTCCTTGGGAGCACAAGGGCCCAAGTACAATCCCCAGTACCATACACACACAAAAATAAATAATAAATAAATAAATTTAGAATAAAATCTTTGTTTCTTTGCCTTCTGCTATTCTGTTTGATTCCCAAGACAGTGTGCATAGTCAGTCTCTTAGAAATTACAAAAGAGGAGAAGGTAATAAAACAAATATCAAAGAGAACTATAAGTTAATATAAAACATCAAAACAGAACACAAACAACTCTTATATGGTAGGTGTAATGGATCTGCATCCTGGCTTCTATAGTATGTGTGTTTATGTTATGTATTTATACATAATTGCAGCATGCAAATATGCACATGTATAGTAATTGTTAGCAAACTTGAAAATTTGTCACTTGAAATAATTTTTCTAGATTCACTTGCTGTAAATTATAATTTGTAATGGATTAAAAAGATGAGTGTTAAATAGCAAAAGCCATTTTAGGCAACAGGCACATGGCACCAGGTGTAACAATTCCCAATTTGAAACTATACTACAAAGCCACTGTGATAAAAACAGCATGGTACTGGCAAAGAAAGAGGCCTGAGGATCAGTGGAACAGACTGGAAGACACAAAAACAAATGCAGATGTACTCAACTACCTCATCTTTGACAAAGGAGGTGACCATCCTCATTGGAGGAAAGATAGCCTCTTTAATAAATGGTGTTGGAAAAACTGGATGTCAACATGCCACAGATTAAAATTAGACCCTTATCTTTCGCCATGCACTAAATTAAAATCCAAATGGATTAAAGATCTAAATATTAAAACAGAAACATTAAACTTTCTGGAAGGTAAGTTAGGCAGAACTCTGGAAGACACTGGCATAGGAAAAGACTTTATGAACAAATCCTCAGTAGCACAGGAACTAGCAGATAGAATCAACAACTGGGATCTCATCTTACTAAAAAGCTTCTGTACTTCAAAAGAAACCATCAGCAGAACTAAAAGACAATCTACAATGTGGGAAAAAATTTTTACCAGCTGTTCCTCAGACAAAGGACTATTATCAAGGATATATAAAGAACTCAAAACAATCAGTCCCCCCAAATATAAAGACCCGATTCAAAAATGGGCATCCAAAATGAACAGACATTTCTCAGACAAAGAAGTAAAAGCAGCAAGAAAATATTTGAAAAAATGTTCCACATCACTGGTCATTCGAGAGATGCAGATGAAAACAACACTGAGATTCCACCTCACCCCACAAAGAATGGCTGCTATCAAGAAATCACACAATAACAAATGTTGGCGGGGTTGTGGGGAGAAAGGAACCCTTCTCCATTGTTGGTGGGAGTGCAGACTGGTTCATCCACTATGGAAATCAATGTGGAGATA